CACACACACACACACGCACACACACACACACACACACACACATACACATACACGACACACACACACACACACATACATATATATATATATATATATATATATAAATATACACTCACACACACATATATATAAGTATATACATATATATATAAATATATACACACACAGACACACACATACACACACACATATATATAAACACATATATATATGAGTATATTGACACTATAACAAGTATAATCATACATACCACTGCCTACGCCTAGATAATAGTATGCTCTGGCGATGTACAACCGACTCTCCTGTACGAGTAACGTACTCATTAGGGCTACACCACCGCTTGTACTGTTGTGGTTGGCTACCTGAGACCAGTATTTATAACTGTATGAGGATGAGAGTGCGTTCAGTGAGAACATTGTCATCTATCATATCAGGACTTTTATAGCTACACAGGATTGTGATCAACAGTGTGTTCAGTAAGGAAGTAGGAATTGATCTTAACTCTAATTTTGATACGCATCGGAATCATACTTTTCTCGAACACTCAAAGAAATCAATACCTACAAGTTTTAGGAATTTGGGGTGGGAGTGCGACAAATCAACACCAACACATCGGAAAGTATCTATAACTTCGATCAAAGCTTTAGATATCTTCGATTCACGCAGACACAACGTACAAATGGAGCACAATAGCAGACACAACCACACGTCAGAGGATATGATCGATGACCGAAGCCGTCGAAGTAGGAATGTTCCATATTGAGAGAGCAGACACACATGTCGCATACCAATTGAGCCTGTACCAACTACCAGGACGGCTGGACCCTGTTAAGGGGATTAAATACATCGCACACACACACACACACTCCAATTATCACACAATCACGGATACAGCCCCACCTCAAGGCATAGTCCGCCTTTACAGTTCGATTACCCCAGCTATTGAAGTAAAAGAAGGCTAGATTCTGAGAACACTCCAGCTGAACCATCTCGAGTTCAGAGGCCATCTTGGGCTCGTACTCAATACTCGGATAGTTGGAGCACCGGTCCAAGATCTCTATAGCGCGGGAACGATTTCTGTACAGGCCTTTCCCGGAGAAGTGCAGGTTTGCAAGGTCCATGCTCATTCTAAAAATAGAACGGCAAGTCAGTTTATGAAAAATATCAATCTAAATATATAGAATGGGATTGAAATCTATATATATATATATAGAAGTGGTAGTGGGTAAGAAACCGTGGGTAGTATGCGTCGCCTTATATAACT